TTTCCTGTTATGGATTAGAAAATGATGAGCGGAAACATCAGTTAGACTTTTAGCAAAGAGAAATAATTATCTTGACGATCACTGTAGGCAATAATAAAAAGAAATTCCATTACAGCATCCGGAACTGTGAGATGAGATTTAGCATGTCAAGTTAAATCATTTTTAATCCTGCATCAGCGTCATGCTGATACAGCAAACATGTGCACATTGTTGATTTTGCTTATTTTTATTTTAAACATATTGATTGTAATCTATTAAAACACAAGTTTCCAATTGCAGCCATCATTCCAATTACTGATAGGAACCGTATTCTTCTTCCTTTGCATTTTTCTGTTGATCCAGGACCGGACTTTACTTGGTTTGTCTTTTTTCTCGCTCATTAATTTATTTGATCAAATTGCATTTCACTGTATTTTTTGCGGATCCAATTTAAATTCTGGCATTTTTTAGTTATATGTTATGCCATGATTCTTTTTTATAATGAAATTTATGGATTTCAGGTGGAAAGACTCGGAAGATGCAGAAATAGCCGCACGGATCCAACTAACTGAAGTTGATAAACTTTCACTTATTCGTGAATATATGGATATTGTTAAGATTCCGGTAAGCTTAAGCTAAATTGCTGAACGTTACTGTCTTTATTAAACCGTACAAAGTTTTTAACTCCTTTTTTTGCTTTATTTTGTAAATTCGATTTAGGTTCGCCGATACTCATTCCGACATAACTTAACTGGAATCAGATTGGTAAACGGTGAGGAAGGGCGAAAATCGATGACATTATCATGTGGTGATGTATTCGTTACTAAAGATCATTCCGCAAGGTTACTGAGTGAAATAGCACAGCAAATCAAGAAACGGCTAAAAATAGGACGCAAAAAAAAGGTTTCATATTGCACATATTCAAAAAAACCACTTTTTGCTGGCTTAGATCTAGCTTATGGAATTTGTAAGTTTGCAGACTTTGAATCTCAATCTTTTTCTTAGTGATCTGTTAAAAAATGAACACATCTTTGAATTTAAAATCTACATTTCCTTCCATTTATTATTTTTTTTTTTTTAAATATGAAAAACATGAGATTTTCTTTCATATATCAGTGGATACATATAACAGTAATGAAAGCATTTTATTTTAGAACCAGTTGGCTAATGCGGAGCAAGTTACAGTGTCAGATCTGCGATCTGCAAATCTTGTTGTAGCTGCAAGACTACACTCTAATGCTCATCAATATATGGAACATATGGTGGATAATTATTTATGTTTAGCTAAAGAACGTTTCGAACAATCGAAAAATGTTAGTTATCTTCATACTTCTTAAGTATTTTTTACAGACACGAAAAAGTCAAAATTTTAACTTTTGCTTTTCTCTTTCCCCTTTTTATCAGTGATCAGATGATATAATTTATTTTATAATAAATTATGTCGACATAGGCTATACGTTTCGATTTCTTACAGGCTCCTGGAATGACTTCGCGCCAACGTACTCGTTTATCGCATTCTTTCAGTACTTCATCACTATTAGTTACCTGCATCAATAAACAATGTCAGAAGGTATATATCTGATAATTTCCCTAAATAACAGATTCTAAATTGTTGTATCTTTCTAGATCACTAAGGCTGGCTAGAAATCGTCTTTACCGTTGTGCAGTTTGTCGATATTAGAATTAGATATGTCGATATCAACCAAAGAAACTCGTAGTTCAGTTGAACCATTGTATCTATTCCACTCCTTATAATGTTATCAGTCATGATGATTTTCAGCTTAATATTAATTAGTCTATATGTGCTGTTTTGTTACTTGAAGCTCTGAAATATATCTTTCTATTGCTGAAAGAATTGTTTTTTTGTAAATTTAATCTGGTAGAACCATATTTTTTTACAAAGCATAATGCTAGGGTTGCACGATTATAAATCCAAAAAATAAACTTTGCTTTATTAAGAATGTGATGAGCGTGGAATTCCAGCTATCAAATAATATCAGAATTGCAGAACGCCTCGCAGTCAACAAATTTCTTATGCAATGATTGCTTTGAGTACCAAAAGCAGTTGATGGCTTCTTTCGGGTTCGTGGTTTCATTTTTAGTTTTTTAAACCACATTTGACGAGCGTTTTTGAAGAATTTGTTCATTTTAATGTTTTTGATGTCACACTTTAGAGCTGAGCTTCCTTTGAGAACCCAGTTAACTTGGACTGTGCTTTGTGAATGAAATTAGCTTATACTTAAACACCGTTCCAACAACTTCCCAATTTTAGTTGCGCACAACCGGGACATTTGCGTTCTCTTCGTTCGTGCCTTTCAACCACCCTGCAAGATTCATGCGATTTTTCACCCCGAACAGGTGGTTCCAATAAATCCAATACAATGCCGTCCATTACGGTATTTTCAAGAACCGTTTCTCATACTGACGGCAAAGGCCTCACGAATGCTCGGGATACAGGTTCTGTATCAGTTCCGCTTGCTGTAGGTGACAGTATGCAGGCTCAGCAGTTTGATAATCCTAGCTCAGAACATCATTGTGAGCATATAGCTGCTGGTTGTGAAGGAATTGTCCATACGGTAGCTGTTCATTATGCACATGCCCAAGCCGACGATGTTACTACCAAGTTCGTCCTTATGTTCTTCATATTAAAAGTTGAAAAATCTTTAATTGAAATCTTTTCGAACGAATTCGTTTCCAACTTTTACATTTTGAATTGTCTTCACATAATTTGTATGAGACTACTATTTACGTACAATTGAAATGCTTTGTTCTCTCCGAAATTTAACAAGATATGCATAAGCATGCTTGTTCAACTGCACTGCACAAGCAATGTCCTTTTTTCATTCTACGATGTTCCCTCCACATCCACATACAGTGGTGGACTAGAACAAGGTTTTTTGAGATGTCGAAAGTGTTGTGAATCTTTCGCTTTTTATTTTATTTTATTTTTATTATTATTGGTTTGGTCGAGGTCAATGGTATACTTTTTTTTTTTTTTTTTTGTCATCAAGTATTTATTTGCTAATTTTCAGAGTGGCATCTATAGAAGGGGCAAATGGAGTAACTCATTACTATTTGTCACAGTAAATAATCAGTGCTATCTCCTCTTAATATTCAGTTCCGGAATTGGCATTTGTTACTTATTAAAACTAGCTCGGATAAAACCTGTTTGTTTGTTTTTTTTTTTTTTCACTCTGTGAATTTTTTTTATCATGCGTCTTTTTCACTTCTATCTCAATCTTCAATCAGAATGAATTCATATATATATATATATATAATTTTACTACTGTGATCTGACTTACTGTTACTAAAATATTTTTTCGAAAATTCTTTGGATTATAGTTTAGATAAATTGATTGTTAAGTTTATCAGGTTTGTGTTAGATTTCAGACGTTATTAAGCTTGAAATGAATTAAGGGACAGTATTAATTTTATCAAAATTAATTACAGTTGAAAATGCGAACAGAAGGAGATTTCCGTGATTAAAATAAAATATCAGTTTCATGGGATTGCAATTAAATATTGTTTTTTAGCTGTTACATATAATTTATGCATTTTATTAGTTGTTAATTTCAAAAATGAGATTGTAAAAGTGAGGTGAGAGCCAAGCATCTATTTTAAGGAGAAGAGTATCAAAAAGTATTTTTCATGGATCCTATCAGATTGGTCCAAATCGTCGAAAACAGTCAAACAATACATAGAATAAGTGCTGCATTGTTTCTTTCAGGAAATCTATCCCTTTTCCCATGTGAGATCATGACCCTGTGAAAACACGTTGCACTAATTCTATATACGAATGTAGGATTTTATTAATTTCCAAATTTAGTTTCCTCTTATCCATAAGGGTAAGGTTTTGTAACTGCCATTCTTGTTGCATTGAGATGTTGGCATACTGTATTTTTTTTTTTTTATCGCTCATCTACTCATTCTGGTCACGATGCTCCTTGTTTTGTTAACTTTTATTGACTTTTTCCATCTGTGATACCGCTAATCATTGCATTCTTCAGTAGATTTATTTCTTTGCACAGGTGGTATGCTTTGACTGTGTCTTTGTGCCCTTTCGCTTACGCTAAACTGTAGTTTCATTTTCCACTTTTTGAATGATATGCGTTACAATTTTCTGCCTTGGTACCAAATGCGAACACTTTTTCCTATTTTAAAAAAGAGTGAAAAAAGTGTTTTGTTAAAAGAAAAAAGTGGGAAGAACTGGAGGCAGTGTTAACTGGCTTCGAAATTGATTCCATGTAAGTTTTTATTGTGTATATCCGTTTTATATCATTTTCAAGTCGAACATACTCAGCAGCTGTTGAGGCATACTCACACACTGTCACAAAAGTTTTTTTTTTTTGACATAGAACAAACAAACGATTGACTTCCAGGTGGTATAGCCGTTTCATTGTTAAATTTGGAGCACCCTTATAACCTAAACTTTCGTGGGAAGGCAAAAGTAAACATTTTTCTTATTCTTAAGTTTAAGTAATGGTAATATTTAGTTAAGCGCTCTACAGTCATTGTACGTTCACGACTTCGCCTTTTTTCGCTCATCTTCCAGTGTTTTGCTTTTCACCGATATAATTTTATCTGTGCTAAAAGCCAGAGATGAAAAATTTCTTTGTCTTTGTCTTCCATTGTTTTTGTTCCAATGCATTGAACAACATTTTGTTTGGCTTTCGTGCCCATCGTTCAGGTGTAATAATTTATATTTTGCAAATATGAATTAATAAATATGATTCGGTTTGAGAAATCACTTTCACACATTTTGCCTTACCCTGTTTCATGTTTATTTTCAAATATTGATTATCAATGATTTACTCCAGTATTTAGTCGCAATTGAAAAGATGGTGGCATACTTCAACTTTAATAAAGTAGGAACTGTGTTAGAAATTCAATTCCCTGAATATCTGGTATCGGTGTGCACAGGAAGTCTGTTCGGAGATTATTGGGTTCAGGTTCTTTTTGACTTCATGTAACGTGAAACCAAGACTATATTTCTGAATCGCGAAATAGCTTGTTGCTTTTGACTATGTCGAGACGATGACATCGTATTTTTCAGCTATTTCCTGCAATCTCTGCCACTTCTCTCCAGTTGATATGCCTTGAATTAAATCCTTCAAAATGTGTTCTTCCGATATTTCTTCCACTAAAAAATAATTGAAAAGATGATATTATCGATAATCAGTGAAGTGTATTGTCATATGTAAAATATCATAATTCTACCAAAATTTGGTAGACAAATTGAAATATGTAAAACAACACAGATAATTAAGGACAGTTCCATTATTTACAACAAAAGTTTCGCTGATTCGACTAGAGCTTATAAATCTTCAGCATAAGATAGGTTGATCTCCGTTAAATCTTTGTTTAATGTAAAGTTCATCTGTGACAAGTTCTCAGATACATTAGATTGCTCAGTTGTAGCATGATGACTTGCAAATTTAATGACATGAAATTGAGAGCTACATCATCCCTAAGAATTGTATCATTCGATAATTCTCAGCTATTGTGGCTGCATGAAATGACCAATTAATGTTATAGAAGGAGCAAGTATACCGAAATTTTTAAAATTTTAGTTTTACTAAAAAAGGGTAGTGTTAATAATACCTTTGGAATTCTTGTTACACCAATCATCTCCATAACAGCAGCAAAAATAACCGAAAAAGTTCATATACTGAACATTACTCATACAGTAGTTTATTATTCCTTTAGTAAAGGTAACTTTCTCTACGCCTTCTGTTTCACTAATCATCTAAAATTTGGCCGATTTTAAATTTCATTATTAATTTTATCTGTTTGGCAAGAGCATTCAACTAATATTACTTTGTAAGATTGCTAAAGATAAGCTGGTAATAGTTTTTTAGAAGTAACTTTTTTTTTGTTTTGGTTTTTTTAACCAAGAAAGAGAAAAAAATTCATTGATTCTTGTGATTGATGACAGTAAGTACCTCGCAGAGGAAGGTGTGATCACAGCCTCGCACCGTGAAGTTGCCTTTTCTGAATGAACTGTCCTTTCTCATGATGAAGCAGAATCCAGCTGGCCCACAGTTTTCTTCCTGAATCTTATCAAACTGATTCGAGAAACATTTTGTTGCTTTCCTTCCTGTTAGTATCATGCAAACGAGGATAAATAGCTGAAAGAATTGAGTGATAATCATTATCGAATCTAACTCAATCACAACAAATTACCAAAAATAAGCGTCACACTTTGTGCCATTTTTTAAAAAAGTGATACTAAACTATTAATAAAAAACTGATACTTGTAGCAGCAGTAGACCCATATTTTAAAAGTTTTATTTGTTGTAGTCAGTAATTCATTAACTTATCACATACAATAACCAGCTTTTATCGGTAAACTGCAAATAACTGCTAGTTATCATTCTACATAAAGAAAAAGAAAATTAGTTTAAAAAAAAAGCCTTTTATAGCGTCTTATAACTTTTTCATTATGATAATTTCAAGTAATATTCTTACATGCACATTTCATGTCGGTAATTATCATTTTCATATTTGTGATCAGATGCAAAGTATACATAAATTATAATCTAATCCTGTGGAAAAAAAAAATCGCAATTAATGTTTTATAATTAGGCTATTTATTTCCCCAATGTATGAAATGATTGACCACATTTAATTTATTTATACTTTTCTGCCAAGTGGAAACCATTTGTATTAATTTCGATACTTAATGAAAGGTGGTATTGCCTTGTCCTCTCGTCAATGAGATGTTTTATCGACTCGTAACTTTTCTTGTTTTCTTCAATTTAGTTTAATGCGAAATTTATTATTAATTTATTATGTATCGGACTATAGTTGTAGAGAAAATGTATTAGTATGAGTTTGTAAAGAAAGCTGAAATTGGTACTAATTTCTTTTTTCTAAAATGTTCATTTCTGCCACCATTGGAATAGAAAAACATCAAATGAGTTCATGGAAGAAAACTCTTCTTTGTTCTATTGTTTGTTAATATTTTCTTCTAAAAGCTGATCATCGGAAAAAGTTTTGCATGCTGATGTTTCTAACAGAGATATGGCTGTATTTTTTAATGATCTTTTAAGAAGAGATTATTGCATCAAAATTTTAAGCTTTGTAGCCACATGGTTGATGGAATTTTATAAGTAGAACCCAGTCTCTTTGGAAGTTAACTAGCTATCAATAACTTTCATTGAAAAATATCTTTTTCACGCAAAATTAAATGCAACGACAAGAAAAAACATTTTACAGCAATTACAGATATCAAAGAGTATTAAAGTGGTAGGACCACATGACCCAACAACGAAACCATTCAAAAAACAAAACCCTGTTGGACCATTTGTAGGGTTCGTTCTAAGTTTATAATTATTTTCTAATACGCACAAGAATAACCAAAGTTTTTCAAAAATTTCCGAATTTCATCCCGAATATTTTAGTTGCTCCCCTCAACTTAAAAAATTTTCTAAACACACTTTGGCTCATTTTCGAAAAACGTACAATAATTTCCTTCGCATGATTTTGAAACGAAAGGCTTTAAAGGACAGTAATTTCAAACATTAGAAAATATTTGAAAACTTTACTCTTGCAATTAAAACAAATTTTCAGGAAAGTGTTAATCAAGGCGAATGACAATCTTCTATCGGAAACCTATTATCATGGTATTGTTAATTGCGTTGATGTTGAAAAACTGTTGATAAGAGATGGAGATTTTCTGTTTGGCATTCCAGAGGAGGATGAAGAAGAGGTGTTAATTTGAGAATATCAAAGAAAGATTCTTTGTTAAAATTTTCAAAATAATGAACTCATTGTAGTCAATTGTGTGGGTGGTGCGCTATAATCGTGATTTGTGGGCATTTAATATTGGTTTAACCGAAAAGGATCTATATTTTGTTAATCAGAAATGTTTCAAAAAAATTAGCGAAATGGTCTCAGATTATATTCGTACACGAAAACCGATTCATGAAACTCTGCCCATCGTTGTAAAACGACCTGTTCCTCATCCGGTCAGTTGTGTTCATTTGATATAAATCTGAAATTGCAATACAAAAGAAGTGCAAGTACTGTAACAATACCCTATGAATAGCTATAACTGCAAACAATTATTGGTGTTCAAAGTTAGCAAAAAAAAAAGCGCATAGATGATAAGAAAGCACTAAGAAATTCAATCATTTTTTCAAATATTGGAGCTATTAGAAATGACTTTTAGGCTTGGGTAGTGTCACATGATCGAGTACGTCTGAAGGATGAGCTTGGCCAAGGGGCATTTGGTCGTGTATATAAAGGTATACTACAAGTTGGCCATACTTACATGACTGTTGCTGCAAAAACATGCGTTGGACAAGCCAGTGATAAAACCAAACGAGCTTCATTTCTTCAAGTACATTTCTAATCCTACTTCACCAATTTCTAGCTGATAATCTCCACCGCTAAGAAATATGCCTGTTTTTTAGCTTGTAAAAAATTACAAAAAAAGTAGTTTTGGTTACACAAAATAATCAAAATAACCTTTTTTTTTTTTTTTTATTTCAATATTCACAGACTCAAACCCTGCTTTCTTCAAATGAAAACCTTGAAAAATCCACATCATCTCAGCTTTACAAATGATAAAAAAAAACAACAACAACAAAAAAAAATGGCAATCCGGATGCCTAAATAATTTTTAATATTTAGGGAAAAGCGATAAGAAAGAAATTGAATTGACTGGTAATATCATTCAAGAAAGCCCGAATTAATAATTTAATTTCCATAACGTCAAGCATTATTGGTTACAGGAAGCTAAGGTTATGAGAGACTATAAGCATGAAAATTTGGTGCAGTTTATCGGTATCGCATGTCAAAAAGAGCCACTGATGATAATTGTTGAATTCTGTGGTGGTGGATCTTTATTAAAGGTTTTCGAAAATTTTTGATGTTTTGAAGTCTGAAGATATATATAATTAGAAAGACATCACAGCAATAAGGCTTATGCGATTTTTAGTAATTAGCAGGAATGAAAAAGAATTTTGAACACTATTAATAATTTAAAAAAAGTAGTTTCAGTATTTAAGAAAGAAAGGGGCGCATCTCGGAATAGCAACCAGATATCGTTTCGGTAAAGAAGCATCGGCAGGTTTGAAATATTTAGAAGAGAAACGATGTATCCATCGAGATGTAGCCGCTAGAAACTGTCTTCTTACAGAACACGAGTTGACGGTTCGTGTTTGTTTGGAAAGAGAGTGATGATAAGGGAGAATTGAGCTACTTTTATTCTAAAACTTTTCGAAATCTCATTTTTTCTAACCGATATTCTGAAAGGCACTGCCTTCATTTTTTAAAAGACATTTTCAAGTTTTTCCTTTCCTACCATCATTCCGTCCTAAAGTTAATAGACAAACTAGAATTATTTTCCATTCAGTTGAAAATATGCGATTTCGGATTGTCAATCAGGGAGCAACAAATTTCGAATTCCGAAATACAGTTGCCAACAAAATGGCTTTCACCAGAAGCAATCAAATCACTGCAATTTACTACCAAAAGTGATGTTTGGGCATTTGGTGTACTACTATACGAGATATTCACCGATGGCAGCGAGCCATATCATGGTCATCCATTAGTCAGTCAGTTAGCAGACAATTAAGGAAAATTATTAGCTCCAGCGCAAAACAACGGAAAGCTTAATAGTGGTAGTTAGCAAAGTGATAAGGACAAATCAAGAATTTCAATCACTCTCTGGAAGATTGTCCAATTTCATATAACATCCAAGAACAGTCCAAAATCTTTTGCATTAAATTTCTCTAAATTTTTAAATTCAAAGTTTGTGAATTATTAACTATCATCAGGTATGAGTAATGCACAAGTGCGAGAAAAACTAACTGATGGTAGTAAGTATCGAATGGAAATACCTCTTGACGTACCGCCAGGTATTATGGAACTGATCAAGAAATGCTGGATGGAAGAACCAAAGCAAAGACCGACATTCAAGGAGATTAATCGGACACTTACCAAAATAGCATTTGTTTGAAATCAATGGTCCATACAATAATTAGCTGATATTAAATAGCTAAATCAAAATGCATGTTACGCTACCCTGTTTCATTTGCGAGTGCTAAAATCCATCTTCCGGGTAATTCATCTACTTGATGGAAATGATCTCCTTCTTATTACTTTCTCCGCTGTGGTAGGAAGAAAAATGTCACACCACTCACATAACACACAACATACTAATTAATATTACTCACAAGTATAAAATAAAGTCTACATTTAAATAAGAAAACTAATTAGAACATTAAAAAGATTGATCAAGATGTTTTGAAACACATAAATTATTAAATTGCACAAAAGCTTTGGCCAAATTACGAGTGCTAAGAGTTCCACATACAAACTTCAAATGAATTCTTTGAACTTTTGCTCTGGCTGGGAAAGTAGTACAGTAATAATAAAGTGAAAATAAACTTATGCATTTTAGTAACGCAGCAAGCAACTGTGAAGTAAACAAGCTGAAGTGGTAATGTACAAAAAAATGATCAGTGATAGATTAAAGGGAATACTTTGACAGTCTACGTCCTATTAAATTTCTAGAAAAACCACTGTTGATAATGATAACCGCCATCAGTAGAGATGTCACATATCAGTGACAGTCAACCGACCATTTTGATGACTGATATTGATGCTTCGGTTTTTTGATAAATTTTTCCAATCTCAGTTGGAAGTTCCTCGTTGTGCAAGTGGAAAAAAATGACAGGTGCATGAATTCTGCCCCTGCATGCCTCCCAAATAATCTATTTAACTGTAGAGAACGCTTCCTAAACCTCCGTATATCCTATTATGAAACATTAAGGGAGAGATCTAAAAATTGCATTTTGACTTTGTTTATAGAACATTCGACCTGCCGGGAAGTGCGCGTAAGACGACGTGGAAGGCAGAGAGATTGTGGACTTGGGCGTGGATGGTAACTGATGATAATTTTCACGTTAAAAATTAATGGGTTATGTTGAGCGTGTTTTTGTGAATACTGTGTTGAATGACCAGGCAGCAAGGGTGTGACGCTTGCACTCGCTCTTTTTAAATTAAATTCCAAAAAAGAAGTAAATAATTTTCAGACTTTTTTGCGACGATTTATTTTTACAAGCAAAATGGATTTCCAAATTATGGAGAAAGATATGTATGGTGATGTAGAGAACGATGAAGAACTAATGGCTGAGTTGTTAGCTTTAGAGGCAGAAGAACAAGCTGCTGGACGCACAAGTGGTACACGTGAACACAATGCACGTCAGTATGCTTAAATCTTATCGATAATTTGTCACAGTCTTGTAAGAATTTATAAAGCACTGAATTAATTTAATTATGAAGCGAAAGAGAAGCTGAGAGAGAATGACATGGAAAGACCGAAGTTTACATTCGTGATTTTGCCAGACAGCAAATTAAGGCAATTTCGGAAGAAACTTATTTCTAATTTGTGGTTTTGCTATTTCCAAGGAATCAAATAACTGAATGTTTTGGTGCAGAGAACATGCAGTTTCTGTGAACAAATTTTTTTTTTGTAAGATTAGTACATAATCACAGGTCATCATGAATCAACTGCACAAGCTTCACAACCGGTGAGTGGAATGTATGGCATTTCAAGTATATCAGATGTATCAGATGAAGATTTGAATAGTAATGATGAGGTGGATATTAATGATCCAGAACTTTTGGTATGTATTAAATTTTTGGGATTGTTAGTTCATTGCATTTCCTACTTTATTATCCTCTATCGTAAGCACCAACTTATTTAATAATGTGTTAAATGCTTTAAGGCAGAACTGTCTGATTTGGTTGAACAGGGTAATGCTGTGGGATCACCTGCATCTCCTAAACTGCATACTTCAATACCATATGAACCTGCTGTTGACACGACATTACTTTATAAATTGCGAGGACTTAAGGAGGAATACACTTCAGTGCTAGAAGCTGCAGAAGAGAAAAATGATATATTGCGTACTAAGAGGTATAGCCTATTGTTTATTCCTTTTTTACATGTTTACCAGCCATTAGTTAGGATGTTACTACTTTTTTGTTATGCTCGTAAGTTAGAACGAATTTTGAGAGCTCCGAAATATTCCACAACATTGTTTCCTCATTTAGATATCGGCGAGGATTTGACAGAATCGAGGAATTGATACGAAAGGTGCAAGCAGGAAAAATGATAGATGAAAAGGACATTCCAATTTCGATCAGAACAATTCGTTCTGTTGAATTACATGCAAAAGAAACTGACGTTTCAGTTATTCCCAGACCGGAGGTGATTTTTCAGTCAAACAATTTCTGAAGCTTCAGCACTTACATAATTCATAAATAACTCCCTAGTTTGCAGTAACTAAATTTCAAAAATTTATCGGTAGGCGCATACTGCCATATGACAACTTATCATAAACTGTTCTTGGAATTAATCGAATGGTACAGTATATTTTACTTTTATCAATATAGTATCTTAATTATAAAATAAATTAAATTGAGGTCAAGTTTTTATTTTTGAAGATACAACCAGTACTGCCAGCTAAAGTAAAGCAGTCCGCCACGGAAATAATCAATGAATCGTCTGTCATTTATCAAAAACCAGTCAAGAAGCTACTGAGAGGAGAGCAGCTGAGGGCAGAATTAATCAGTCGTCGAGAATCCTATATCAAGAATGCCAGAGCAGCTAACTCATGTTAGTTCATTTCAAAGAGATTTTGTTTTTCATATAATCTGAACACTTATTGAATAGCATTCTGAGAGTCATGAAGTTTGTCATTGTAGTGGGTGACAAAAAAAAAGCTTACGAATATTACGTAGTTGCGAAGCAGTTTGATGAAGCAATGAAAACTATGAATGATGGACGAGTAACAGAATGTGAGGAGAATGAACTTCCACCTCTAGCCATTCCCTACAAATCAAGCAAGGTTAATTTATATTGTAAATGAGCTGCGAAAAAAATAGCAGTTTGATTTATGTTACTAATATTTATAATAAGCAGTTCAGTGATTTCTTCCGCACAGGCGATGTCATTTAATATTTAAGTGTTGTGACTTATAAAATGAACTAAACGTTTGCTCAAGCACTGTCATACGGCTGCCATAAGATCACTTTCTCGTTAGTCCATCAAGGTCATCAGCAAAATGTTGAAAATTAACATTGTTTGGATCCCTGCTTCGTATCAGAATATACGATTTCATTGTGGGAGGTGACAAAAGAAAAAAAGTTTACGAATATTACGTGATTGGGAAGCAGTTCAGTGGAGCAAATATATGAATGATATAGAAATCTGAATCCTGAAATTTATTATCCAATTGATTCAGGTGCGAGACATTAAAATAAGGGATGATTTACTGTTTGCATTTTGCAGAGGATTCATCCACTTCTTCTTTCTGTTTTGTTTAATTATTTTATCATTTTCTATAGATAGGAAATGTTTATTCCTTAGAGTTTAATTTAACCTATCACAGGTTATCTAGCTTGGTTTTTCTGCTCTAAATTTTGAAACTAAAAGCGCGATAAGCTGAAGAGATGGATGTATCCTGTGTAGTGCAAAGTCTTTAGCGTCTAAAAGAACAACAAATCACCGTGTTACTTCTATAAAGGAAATATCGGTTAGCATTAAGTAAGATGTGGAATTACTATGCAGGATGAAGGAATCCATCCTCCTCCAAAGACTCTACTAGATGGACTACAGCAGCGCATGCAGAAATATAAAGCTTTATGCGATCAGAGTCGTGTGGAAAACGATAACCGAAAATACAGGTATCTTTTTTGATAAATTCTGACTAGTTGGATTCTTTCTTTTCAAGACTGTTGTCACTGTTCCAGCGAATAGCATTAAATAATGTACATTCTCATCCCTTTCGCAGCTTATCATTTTACTTTAACTTATTTTACTTTTAATTAGCTATATTTGTAGAATGAATGCTCGTATTTTGAAGCGATATGAAGATGCAATTGAAGCATGTCGTTCAAATAAACCAGTTGATACGAGTGGACTGCCATGCCCTCCTGGATATCCACCTCTTCCTCCATTGGAAAACATGGCTGCCTCTAGCACAAGTGATTTTTTATGTATTTTTTGGGTCATTCATCTTAATTGTATTTACTTCTGTTATAATAAACATACTATTTATGCATTAAATAAAATTTGAGATGGGATGGTGATGTCGCGAAGACCTTTGCCTGAAGTAGGATCACTTGGTGCACCAGAAGCGTCAATATCAGGAAAACAATCACGTCAAAAACAACAACTTGACTTTTTGCTTCAGCGACAATTTCAGTTTAAGGAAGCTGCTATTGCTGCAAAAAGAAATGGTGACGTAGAGACTGCCAAGAAATTTTTACTTGCTGCAAAGGTGTCTTTCATATTCTAATTTAAAGCTTGTAATTATAAATTATACTTCTTGGTAACATCGAACTATATTTTTTCGGACGTTTAATAAAGATTAAGTTTTATAACTTTCAAAAGTTGTTGTTTCAGATAAAAACTGAACATTCTTTAATAAATTTTAGTTGTTCTTAATTAAATGCTGTCTTTAGGGTTTTGATAAAATGATTGCTGCCTCGAAAAATGGTTTGTCTGTTAATATTAAGAAAACACCTATGCCACCACAAGTTCGGACATCTGCAAGAATACTCAAGCCATCACTGGAGCATCACACAAGTTTTGATGCTGCTATTAAAGGTGCTGTTAAAGTGAATGGCTTCCAATATTTTGTTTTTTACTTTATTTTTTATATCAACTTATTCAATGCAGATACTTTATCTACTGCAGGGACATCTAGTGAAGTTTTTGCTACAATGGAAAGGGATCTCATTTGTCAAGTAAAGCTTTGCGAAAAATATAGATTTGCTTTCACTCAGTTAGTTTTGCTTAGCTTTTTCATAAAATGTTTTGCTTTAAACCGTAAATTTAGGTATTAAAAGTTAATCACAATTATAAGCATCGTCTCTTTTTAATCATTTGAAATAAATTTGAGGTAGTTTAACAGTTTAACTTCACCTAATGTTTTTCAGTTACAAATTTTCTAGGAATTTTTGTAATAAATTGTACTAATATAAATCTATCAACTCTTAGATTGGGCGATGTAACTCGAGTGAAGATGTTGGAAACTTGGTCTGCCATTTCGAAAAGAGACTTAATGCTTTTACGCGAAGTTATGAAAAGAGGTGCAACAGTGCCGCAGTAATACATTTTTCTAAAGTTCTTTGATTTCAAGATTTTCTTTGACATTCGATAAGTTTTATCAGCTATTTCAGATTTCACTCTGATTTCATTTTTTTTCAGGTTTCGATACGAAACTCGAAACATGCCTTCGGTGGAAGTATGCTTTGAAGTAGATGAAAATCATATTGAATTGACAATAATGAAAATAATTGAAGCAAAATTACCAGCAGGTTCCTGTTCATCCTGTTTCATGTACTAGTGCTATTCCTTATTTGAGTGGCTCAAACAGTAGGTACTACTAAAAGGATGGAATGGGCATCAATCATCTCTTCTATCAAATTGTGCTGTCATATGCACTTTTTCTAGTGATATTCTCTGCTCTTTTTCACATTAGAACGAATTTTAAATAGAATGGTACTACAGTTCTACCATTCTATTTAAAATTCGTTATTTAAATAGAATGGTAGAACTGGAATGTGTTTTCTACTGCCGATGATAGCCATCTAATATTGCTTGAAAATCAGCCTTGTCTGTGCATTTCTGTAACACTAGCCATTGCGATATTTATGTAAGTTTTATGAAAATTAAAAGAAAAATGTTCCAGGTTGGAAAGCGTCTGACGGTTATCTGTTTGTAAAGTATAATTTTTCCTTTCCTCACGACGCTCATCAAACTGGTAGAACTAAAGTCATAGCTGCTACAAATTCGCCAGGTATCCTATATTTGTTTGTTTGTTTTTTTTCTTGCACATACTCTGAAAAAGTGATAAACCATTTATTCTCTTCATGAAAGAAATGTGGAGTAGAACAGAATGAAATATTTATAAGTTGGTTTATTGCTGTGAACAGTTTAACAGTAATTGTTACAGCTAACAGAAAATATGAAGTGAATCAACTTATAGATAGAAAATATCTTTCCCTAGTTTCTTCCATTTAAAAAAAATTATTATGTAGTTTTCACTTCATCTTTTCACCGGTATAATACATCATTTTCTCAATGATTACTGAATGTTTTGTTGTGCAATTATTAATATGTTGTTCAGCTTTGACTGTAACCAGAAACTAGGTATTTTCGGAAGAACAAGGCAAAACGAAAGAAAGACTGAGAAGGCCAAAGAAATAGAGGAGAAAGAAAAATGATAGACAAAGGGAAAAGAATTTATTATTAAATGCTTATCTGCACTATTACTTATTTGCAGCTTATTCTCTTATTGGCTTATATTTCACTTTTTTTTTGTTTTCATTACAACTTTTTTTTATTTAGTGATATATTTTACATTTCGTTATTATTAGAATACAATCAGAAATTCCTGCTAACAATCAATCGGAAAACGAAGCAGTTGCAAAGAGTCATCAAAAGGAACTGCCTGAAATTTGAGGTTATTTTAAAAATAAATTGTCATTTTTGTCCTTCATGTTGATATAAACTATTATGTATTGTTAAAAAAAAAAAAAAAAAAGAAAAAGAAAAACAGGATTTACTTGTCTATTTCATCAACTGCACAATCGCATCAGAAGATGCTTCGAGCAACAAGAAGAGTTGAAAATGAAGTAATCTAAATCTCCTAACTTGTATTTCATATATGTCACGAAGGTTTTCCATATAGATCGTGATGTAATGTGTTAATAGAGGAATTTGTTTATTAGCTCTTATAGCTTTTTTTTCAGATTTACCAAAAAGGTGGTTTTTTAAGGAGTGACAAACTGATCGCTACTGCTGATTGTAAGTTGATTGATTTAGAAGAAAAAGTGTACATTCATGAAAGTATAGATTTAATGGATGGACGAAAGCAGACAGGAGGGAAATTGATTTACCAGGTTATTTCTTGTTTTTAATATTTTAATTTCTTTTTATGTTTTTGAACAGCAGAAAAGTAGAATAGAATTCTGCATTCTTTTAAGGAATGACATCATCTATTCAGAATGGATTTAATTAAAGTGTTCAGTTCTTAGTAAAATTTCAGGTACGTGTTCGCGAGCCGTTGAGTGGAAAGAAGCTTTTAATGATGCAAAAAAAGTGGTTAATTCTGGAACTATGAACTCCTCGCGACGCATTTCCTTTACAATTGGCAATCAAACATGATGTTGTGAATTTTATGAAATTTAATTCGAATTTTACGGGTTTAGTCTTTAATATAGGTGATTTTTATAAGAAGTAATTTGTTGAATTGTAAATACTTTGTTAACTTAGCTTTTTTTCTTGTCGGTTTCATGCATGACCGATACTTAAATGTTGCATAGTTTACGTATAATCAGTTGCTGTTACTGCTGTTTCGCAATTTTTTTTTTCTTATTTTTTATTTTTTGAGTGAAAATATCAGGGAATAGGAATTACTCTAACAGAAAAAGAAGTGCTAATAGTTAAGAGGCTTTTGATTTCTTTGATCATGTTATAATGTCATTATCTTCTTTCTGTTTCTTTCTTCCAACACTAAGATTCAATGGGATAACATACTTAACTTTCACGTGACTTTTATTTCCTTTTCTTATTTGTAAATATTTTTCATATTATTTTAATTGGTACGATTTTATTTGAACGATTCTCAAACTATTTAGACGATAAAAAGCTGATCAGTGCAAGAGAATGTTCACCGCAGAAACCAAGGAATGCTATCGCGAATGAAAGAACTGAGTACTTGAAAATTTAGCAATGTTGGCTTGTTGCGCATATTGTTTTTGGAACGGAACTTAGTTTCTTAGATATTGCGGCGAAATTTTTTCAAGTTTTCTGAGGAATCATTTTTTCTGCCTGCTTAGCAACAGGACTTAATGTTTCTGGAACTTTGGTTGCACACTGAATTCAGAATTAGTGAAAAGTTCAAATAGATGGCTGGCAGTGATAACGTTAATGTCTGCAATAAAATTTGTGTCTATTCTGGTTTGACAGTTCTAGTATTTTCATGTTTATAGAAATAAATTTTTCAAATGGTTTTGATGCAAAAATGGTGCATGTTGGAAATGCACCGAAGTTTGCACTGAATTTTATCCTTGTGAATGAATAGTTCTAGTGATTTGAAAAATATAATTGAAGGAGCTTTTATTTGAATATAAATTTTAGATAAGAAGTTTTTTTATTCTGCCATCAGTAGTTCTATAATGGGGGCTTTTGATATGTTAATGTTAACGTTTTATCAAGTTCTGAATCAGTTTTCACTGGAGTCACTGATTTTATCAGTATTGACTAGCTCGAAATATATCAGTGAAAAATGGCAGGGGATTTTGGATGATTCTAATGGCACATCAGTTCAAATCTATCTCAGCATTTTTAAATGAAATTTAGACGTTTTACATGAAAATAACGTGCTTTTGCACTAAATTGAAGTCAATGTTTGGGAAGGTGCCGAATTAAGATAAGGATGAAGGAAGTTAATTATTTATTCCGTTATCAAAAAGAAGCACGCAGTCACTTTTGAACTCAATATGCAAATTCAAATGTACCTGGGCATAAGGTAGGTAAAAGTCGCATAAATTTCATAAAATATCATATTGCATTTTAAAACATCAAACTACTGTTTGTTCTACGTATTTTATCAACAGCTTTAACTAAACAAAGCGAACTGCAAATTTTGACATAAAAGTGATGTTCATTTCTTGATGAGGAAATTTTCTTCATTTTCATCAAAACCCATTAATCCTGTTTATTGTTTTGTGATATTAAAATCCAAAACTGTCGCATCACATGAGTGAATTTGTGAATTTAATCTTACTCTTAGTTTAATTAAACTTATATCGAATCTCAAAATATTGCAAATTCACTATTTGGATTATCATTTTCTCTAACTATGACTACAATGGAACGGAATTAAACGTCTCGAGAAACAGAGTAAGACTATAATACAACAACTTAAATATGCTACGTTGAATAAATTCATATACAATTATCAAAGGAGTTCCCAACAGCCAACAAGTTATGTTACATTTTCCACCAATCGAAAAATAAAATCAAACAGAAAACAAATTGCAGGAGAGTAATGATGCAAAGTGAATTATGAGAGTCCACTGTTCTGCAGTCCACTGTTCGGTTTGGCATATTCTGGTGTAGGGGAACGTTCTTCTCATATTGCGTAGAATGAAATAGACTAACTTCGTCGTTAAGATGAGCTGAGCTAACTTCAAATCAGTACTACTTGTTTGGACCAACATAAATTACCCTTCTGGGTCTGTCATTCCTCCGTCAAACTTTTCAATGAACAGACGGGACATCCGAGTTGCATTAACACTACCTGTTTTCAAGGCCGGCGGCATGCAAATTCAAATTTTCTACGCGGGAGGGAGTTATTTGGGCGGTAGGCCTAGCTATGTGGCCATAATTTGTCTAAAGGGATGAAGGACTGGACTATAATTGAGCCTAATGTTTGAACTAGAATTAAACTATCTTTGTGAATTAAGATTTCTAAAGTAGACGAAGAAGACAAAAGCAACATATCCTCTAGAAATGTCTGGCAATTCTCTCCACTCACGTTCTACTCGTTCGCCACTTCATCTTCGTTCCACCACTTCGAGAAGTCCTCCAAGTTTACATGAAACACTTTCTGAAGCTTCCGATAATTCGACGCGAACTACACAGCAAAGAACTGTGAGAAATGCTTCCCAAAGTAGAAGTTTACATCGAACTATCCAGCAACCGCTGTTATCACAAGAACAAATGATTGGTAATTTTTACGGAATTTTTAGAAGTGCACTGGTAGGTAGCGTGCTTCCTGACATTAACATTGCAGTTAAATGTCCAAAAGTTATCACCAGGTATGTGTTATATGTGTTTTGCGAATTCTTTTACCTTTATGACGATTTTCATGCTGGTTTTCATGCTTAATATATTATTTTTTATCGTAGTAGAAGGAGGAAATACCTTAAATACAGAGCAGGAAGCAGTTCAGCGCGATCAGAGCGATCGCCATTCACCAACACGATCACAACTAACCGGTAAGTGATACTTTTTTGATATTAGATGTTAGTCCAAATTTTATTGTTTTCATTAGTCTAGCTTAAATATCAATGAAATCCAAAATAGTTAATTTTTTATAAATTCGAGTTGAAAAAAACGAAAACTTCGTTTTTGCTTTAAAAAGATATTCGAATACTATTGCAGTGATGCGAATACTAATGCAATATCTCTGATAAAACATGATTAATATAGCGCAGAATGATATATCTCATTTAACATTTCAATACATTACATATGAATAATTTGGAATATGTTTGAACCTTGAGCTTCACTGAAGGAGAACACTGTATAAAGCAAACAGTTAAACAGCGTTCACTTAGTAACATTCAGTACTTTCATTTCTTGGCATTCAGCATCAGAATATTCCTGATAAATGTGTGACATATATATGATTTTGTTCTATTTTTAGAATCAAGTGCACTTCAATATGGTTCTGATTTCGACACATCAAGTCAAGTGGGCAGTACAGTGTCATGGCAGCGAGCAGTGCGACATATGCGATCTGATATTAATTGTGCACCATCTCAGCATCGTACTATTTGCATCGATAGTATGGAAGTTGGTTTCAAAATATCTCGAAAAAAATACTACGTTTTGTCACATTTTCTTTTTTCTTGCTGAAATTCTGCTAACAAAGATTAAACATTTGTCTTTAGGACGATCTTTCCATTGATTTGGAACCTGGTCCAAAGCTTTACATTTGGGGAACGCGTATCTGCGTTTTTGATGTGCAACGTGCATTTCGCACTTTCGTCAATGAATTTAGACCAACAAGTGTTTCAGACGATGAAAATGTGCTTACGCTTCCATCAAATGTGCGAATGGGTAAGTGAACTAATTCGTAGTGGTACTAGTGAGAATTTCACAGAATTCAATGTACGAATTTATATAAATGGTGTGTTTCTCTAACTATAGTATGATGATACCAATATAGTAATTTCTTTTGAATTTGATCACCAAGGAATCTTTTATTTTACAGACAAATTTTTAAACTCTAAAATATGATAATTACATGTACAGCATTGATTTTAAATAATGTTGAATAGAATGTGAAGTAACAATGAAATTTACGAAAGACAGCATAAAATTGTTTCATTTTTAGAAATTGATTTGGAACGGCCATACTATTTGGAGCGCCTGTATGAAATTGACCAGAGTGAGAATATTGCTTTTAATTTGAATTTACAACACGTCAAACTGTTCAATGAAGCATTATATCGAAAAATTGTTTGCTATCCGTCGGTAAACAACTTTTCTACTTCTGTTTTTATACTTGTATGCTTCTTAATAATGCATTTTCTTTAAGTGTGTTGCTGTAAATAAATGAAAGTAAATAATAATAAATCATAAGTCAAGATAAAGAGCAGTTTTCATCTTAAATTATGTATTTGTATGTCTAAGGCCCTCATATTTCACATCTTTTTGAACTTATAAAATTGTAATGAATTTGAGGATGTCATACCATATCTTGATCTGACGATAAACGAAATATTTTCCGAGAAATACCAAAAAGTATTATATGCTCCGATTGAAGTTCGGCCATTCAACGCACAGAAAACACGTAACATGCGTGCACTGAATCCACAGGATATCGATCAGTTAATCACCATTGGTGGTATGGTTATACGAGCCTCACCATTGATCCCTGAAATGAGGCAGGCATATTTCCAATGCACTATTTGCAATTTTCCGGTAATTTCTATCTAAGTTGTCGTTAAAAATAAGACATTTTAATATATTCTGCTCTTCTTTTGGAAGTGCACAAAATATAACAATTACTTGGATCACAATTTTCAAGTTTTGAGAAATGAAAAAGTAAGAAATTTTCATATTTTTAAATGTTTCCTTTAATTTTTATTGAATATAACAAGTGTTTTCAGGTTGATGTTGAAGTAGACCGTGGTCGAATTGAAGAACCAGCCGTATGTCGTAACTGTCAATCGAAGTATTCTTTCCAGCTCGTCCATAATCGTTCTCTTTTTATGGATAAACAGATAATTAAATTGCAGGAGTCTCCAGGTGTGTCGTGGGTTTATAATCATGAATTTTCATAATATTATTCATAACATAAAATTTTATCGCTTGACATAGATT